AAACTTTGAGTGTTAGTTTATAATTCTTTATGGCTGTCCCTGGACGTGCTTCCTATATCTCTTACTTGCATCTGAGTTTTTCTTATTTCTCTTCACTCCCTATGTCCTTATTTGATTGGTTGTCTGGTGGTTTTTGCTTGGAATTAGGTCCTTAATGTTGTAAATGCTGTCAATTTTAGCTTAAAGCCCTTCTGATAAGGTAAGTCAGGCGCTTTCCAAATACATCTCTTGTGAGGTGCAGCCTATCCCTTGCCAGGAGCCCTTCATGTAGGTAATGCAGACTATGGTCTAGGAATCCAAAGTTCTGTTGACCACACCAATTCTTAAGCCAGTGGTTCACTTCTAAAACCCTTGGGCTCCTAGCTCCTTAACTTTCTTCCCTATCTGCTCATAATCTCTTGTTATTGTTTTCAGGTTCATTGTTGTATCATTCGTCGCCATGTTTAAGAGAAAAAAGGGGTAGTAATTTAAGAGGTTTACTATTTTAGTAAGTCACATCTTTGATTTTTGCTCCAGGGAGACAACCTCCCTAAATTGAATGTCCGGTCTACAGATGGCTGATTCTGTTTCTCTGAGAATTAAATCTCCTATCACCAACACTCACCATTTTTATCCCGTGGTGGCGCAGGGTTAGAATGCAGTACTGCAGGCTACTTCTACTGCCTGCCGACTGCCTGCAATTTGGCAGCTCGAATCTCACCAGGCTCAAGGTTGACTCAGCCTTCCATCCTTCCGAGGTGGGTAAAATGAGGACCCAAATTGTTGGAGACAATATGCTGACTCTGCAAACCGCTTAGAGAGAGCTGTAAAGCACTGTGAAGCGGTATATAAGTCTAAATGCTATTGCTATCCTAGGGATGTCTATAAATGATTTAATTCTTTTTAATTATCTTAACTTTTGTATTTGTATGTTTTTTAATTTTGGCTGTTCACCACCCTGAGTTCCTTCTGGGAGAAGGGCGGTATACAAATTAATTAAATAAATAAATAAATAAATAAATAAATAAATAAATAAAGAATGAATGAATGAATGAATGAATGAATGAATGAATGAATGAATGTCTGAGCTACTTTTCTACCTTTCACTGAAACACTGAAGCAGTATATAAGTCTAAATGCTATTGCTGTCCTAGGGACGTCTGAGCTACTTTCCTACCTTTCACTGAAGTAAAATTGATTGTTCAGCTCCAGACCCAGGACAGAATGAGGATGTCCCCTTCAATCTTTTCCTAGTTCCCCAGAGGGCTGTTAGGGGAAGAAGGACCTGATTTATAATTAAGGGGTGGCGACAGCAACAAGGAACCTAATATTCCAGTTGCTATCTAGCCCCAGATATGAATCAAATGGCCTGAAGAGACATGCTAGTTTGATAAGATGTTCACAGTCTTTTGATATTAGGCAGAGTACTGGACATTCTTTCATTTCTTCAGCTGTTGTAATATATTCCTTTTTGCAGGTTTTAAATTTGTGATGTGGAAAAGTTTAATGAATGAGAATTACTAGACCCCCTTTTTTTTTTTTGCATCTGTGAGTATTCATTGGCATCCAGTCTGTAGAGATTCTCAGTCATCCAGGTCATGGTTGTCCCAAAGGTGCTTTTTTCAGGAGGCAACTGGACTTTCTTGTTTTTTCTTTTGAAGATGTTTTGCTTCTCATCCAAGAAGCTTCTTCAGCTTTGGCAGGATTCCCCACTATCCGTTCCCCACTATCCTGTCCAGTTGCCTCCTAAAAAAGCATCTTTGGGTCATTTGCATCCAGTATTCTTATGAGCCATTTTTCTACTTTTTTTTAGGGAATGAAATGGACTCAGGACTTTAGAGACCAGTCAGTTTAACCTCAGTACTTGGGAAAATCCTAGGAAAGATAATTAAGCAATGGTTTCACAAGCTCATATGAAGGAACTAGGTGATTACATGAAGCCAACATGGGTTAATTAAGAACCTGAGAAACGTAAGGTTCATATACAAGTTGAAGGAGTATTCCCAAACTAGATGCAGTCCTAAGAATTCATAGTTGTACCAGGATGGTCTGGTTTTAAAATTGAAAAAAAGGTTAAATATTTGGGTTTACCTTGACTAATATGAATTGTATGTGATTTCAAAATAATTATGTTAAGATATGGAATGAAGTTAAAAAAAGATATGTTATGATGAGAAAAATTGCTATTATCGTTATTGGAAAGAATCTGTATGATTAGGATGAACATTTTACATAGAATGCTTTTTTATTTCAAACAATACCCATATGGACAACTGATATACTATTTAAGTGATGGCAAAAAGGTATTTCCAAATTTGTCTGGCAAGGCAATAAACTAGGAATTAAATACAAAAATGCTGCAGAGTTAGGACTATGAGATTTGAAATTATATTTTGCAGCTTGTTGTTTAGAATGGATGAAGAGTGTGTGACTTTGAGAAATTTGAGATTTTTGGAAGGATGTGACAAGGTTTGGTTGGCATAGGTATTTGTGGTATGATAAGGTTATTGTAGATGTTAAAAATCACTTTGTTAGAAATTCCATATTGAGAGTTTGATGTAGGTATAAGGCAAGATTGTTTTCTAAAATCCAATAGTGATTGTCACCCCAGGGAAGGGTCCAATCATTATTGGATTGGACAATCAGTTCTATATTTTAGAAGAGAAATGATAGCTAAACAAAAATGCTAACTTATGCTGATGTATTGATTTTTTTTGTCAAGGAGAATTTAAGTTAAAAACAAGAGATGATTCAGAATTGAAAGGTTACATATGTCATTGGTTTTCTTGTGTTCACTTAATGGAAAGATTAAAATCTGATAAAAAGAACGATGAGTTTGAAAATGGTAAGACTGAATTTGATTTGGCACTGTGTAGAAATGTTGACCATATTAGTGCTAAGACATATAAACCTCCTCACTAGCAATCCACAACCAAATAAACAGAAATTATCACCAGGATTAATACCAGACCAACAATCAAGCTGTTAATCAATACCTCAATCAAGGAACAACTGAGACAAATAAACAGTAAACAACAGCTTAATCAAGGAAGTATCAAGAAGAAAACAAACTCCCACCAACACTCACAGGGCAATGAGTTTGTGTCTATACAGAGAGCAAACCCCACTCCATTCCAGAACTGATGATACTACCTAGTTGGGTAAAAGCATATATGCCAGAAAACAACCATGGTCAGATAGGACTAAGGACTCCACGTGTATAATTGGATTTTAAATATTTGTTATAAATGTAATGACACTGAAGGTACACTCTTATTTTTGGTGGACATGTAAGAAAACTAGAAAATGTTGAGATCAAATATATATTTTGATTCAGAAGATACTAAAAGGAAATGTACAGTTATAACTAGAGACTTTCCTTTTGGAATTAATGGACAAACAGATTGAAAAATCTTATGGAATTTTTATTTTTGTGTATGATAGCAGCGAGACTTCTACATACAGGCAGTCCTTGATTTCCAACAGTTCATTTAGTGACTGTTCAAAGTTACAGGGGCACTGAAAAAAAATGACTTACAACCGTTTTTCACACTTACAACCATTGCAGCATCCCCATGATCAGATGATCAAAATTCAGATGCTTGGGAACTGAACCGTCATATTTATGACGGTTACAGTGTCCTGGGGTCATGTGATCAGTTTTTGCGACTTTCTGAAAAGCAAAGTCAATGGGATAGGCAGATTCACTTAACAACCGTGTTACTAACTTAACAACTGCAGTGGTTCACTTAACAACTGTGGCAAGAAAGGTCATAGAATGGGGCAAAACTCACTTAACAAATGTTTCACTTTGCAACATAAATTTTGGGCTCAATTGTGGTCGTAATTTGAGGACTATTATACACAAAAATGGAAGAACTTACAGTTGGATGGTTAAGACAATGGAATTGTCAGAAATGGCAGAAACTGACAGCTTTGTTTAAAGAAAAGACTTTTCAATTTTGTTTCTATCATGAAACCACTTTTGGACTTTTTGCAAGAAAATGAAAAAAATGAAATTGTGATTTTGAGATTTGATAAGAATTATATGGGATTATGGAACTAGTGTGAATTACTGTTGTTTTAAAGTGAGTGTTTGATATATTTTAAATCTGTATTTGAACCAAAGAAAGGTGGTGGCACGGAGCAAACCGTTGCCCCAGTTCAGCTCTGCCGCGCATGTGCGCGCACCTCCCACCATCCAGCTAGTCTTCGGGTCTCTGCCGCGCATGTGTGGGGGCAAGGTGCGTGCGGGGGTGTATAAATGCATGTGTGAGGACCCGGTGCACATGTGGGGGCCACGTGTGCATGCGGGGGGACATGTGGGAGACATGCGTGCGTGCACATGGGGACAGGGCGCATGCAGAGGGCGCATGCGGGGGATGGGGCACATGCGGGGGGTCACGCACGCATTGCATTTTGGGGGTTCAGGGGGGGCGCGTGCATTCATGCACGTGCTTTGGGCACTCAGTCCGGAAGAGGTTAGCCATCACTGCACTATACTATATTAAAAACGCAATTGTTCCAGGGTAAGTTTTGGAATGTATGAGCACAGATTTGGATAATCAGCTTCAGAGATTTCGTGTTTATAAAGCCCTTCAAATGGGTTTGGAAAATGTATTCTATTCTCATTCATCTTCATGCCTATATATAAACTTTTGAAAGACAATGGAAAAGGATTCGAATCTGCTTAGTGCGTTCCTATTCTGTTTCTCTCCTTCCTCTTTACAGCATACATTAGAATCTTCATCGAATGTGATGAACATTATTTTGTAATATTTTATATCTACAGGGCATTACTAAAGAAAAGATATGGGAATACTTTCCACCTAATTTTGGTAAAATACATAATACAATTATAATAGATGTGTAATGCCCCAGAGAAATGTCAACAGAGCAATTCAGTCCAATATGCTATTTGATTTATACGAAAGGCTATTTTTGAGGATATGAAATAGCTGCTTTACAATAACAGATCATTATAAAATTTCCCAAAATGGATCACTTTGTAACGTTTTCAGGGCCGTTGCACGAGGGAGAACTGCAAATATCTTCACCCACCAACACATTTGAAAACTCAGCTAGAAATTAATGGTAGAAACAACCTGATCCAACAGAAAACCGCAGCAGCAATGCTGGCTCAGCAGATGCAATTTATATTCCCAGGAGCACCTCTTCAGCCAATGGTCAGTACTTTTAATGAAATGCCAGCCCCATGCTTTATTCTTCATAGCTGACATCTGACTAACAATATAAATAAATAAATGAATTTATTATAATTTATAAATTACAATATGCTGTCATCAAATATTGTCCAATAAAAATGTATAAATCGTTTTTATGAACCTTTTCTGTTTGTAATCTTATTGCAGCTGTTGAACTTTCTGCATTTTAGGGGCAAGCCAGTTTATTCTGGATAAACTACTAAGAAAAACATAGTGAGATTCAGTTAAGCTGAATAATTTATATATTAATTTGCTTATTACATACATACATACATATATTTATAAATATATAGTATTTGCATACCCTTCTAATTTATTTATGGGGACTAGTGAATATTTAGTTATGAAAATGTAGCCTGTGATGGGAAAATCTTTAACTGACCCAGAAACTTTTTGAAATATAGAAATAATTAAAAGTAAAAATAGTAAGAAATTTGGGGTAGTGGTTAAGGAATTAAGCGAGAAATTAGGAGTTTTAATATGGCTTTAGGCATAAAATCAGCTGGATGACATTGCCAAGAGAACTGGCAGTTTTCCAGGCAATCACCAGAAGTCCATAGTGACTTTTAAGATGCATATGATCTACCCCCCCCCCTTTCTCTCTTTCTCTCTCTCTCTCTCTCTCTCTCTCACACACACACACACACAGTTTCTCCTTTAAGAAAAACTTAAATCTGGACTTGGGGGAAAGAAGCACAGTTTTCATTTAAGCAGTAATTCGTGTATGTTTAAAATTTATCTCACATCAAATGTTTTGGTGTTGAATAACACCAAAAAGGTCCTTAATGTATAAATCTTTTCATCCTTGTTAGAAGAATAACAAATAGGATAATCATGCATAATAAATTATAGTTTTGATTTATTTCTGATTGGTCATACCAAGGTAACTTTTGTGGCCATTCCTTGGATGGTTAAGCATCCTTTCTCTATTTTTAGTTTATATACAGATGTACAGTGCAGTGTACATCAATTCCCTCAAAGATAAACATGGCTTCAAAGCTTTCATGCTGAGTCAATTATTCAGTATTAAGTATGCCTGTTTCAGAATCCTTTGGAACTAGTTCATCAAAATTAAAACATAATAAGCAGCTTAATTTATTAAGAAAGCCACAAATATCTAGACATTGAGTTGATACATTCTACCAAGTCAAAATATGAGTTATTTCAGTTTAGCATGTGTATGGACTACTCTAACATAAATCAGTGAAGTTTGATATTGAATTTATTACAGAGCATGTGTATATTTTTCATTTCTAGATGCTTATTTATCATTCCTTTTTATTCTCTCTCTCAGCCATCATTTCAAGTAGGACCAACAATAGGATCTAATCCAGCACTAAACTTTGCACCATATTTAACTCCGGTTACTTCTGGGGTTGGATTAGTTCCTACAGAAATTGTTCCCACACAATCTGTAATTGTTCCTGGAAATCCTGTCTCTGTCTCTGGATCAACTACAACACAGAAACTCCTCAGGACAGATAAACTAGAGGTATGGTGAGCATCATTCTTCTGATACATGCAGTACTTGTTATTTGGTTATATAGGATTGTGAATTTACACAGTGACTATATTTAAATATAAAGAAAAGGCTATTTCATTTCAGTTGGCTACTTAGCATCAGCAATCCAGATCCTCTGTTCTGATCTTTGGTGTCATAATTGTGCTGTAATGAAGAAGTGCAGAATTCATTATTATGGCTATGCAAAGCTTTGTTTTGATACATTTCATATAGCACTAGAACAGAGGTGTCAAACTCAAGACCCGCAGGCCAGTTTCAGCCCACAGGGTGCTTAGATCAGGCCCGCGGGGCCACCCTGGAAACAGCGAAGGACCGACCCATGGTACTTCTGCCAGTGAAAACGGAGCCCAGGGGAGGCTGTGCATGCCTCCCCCTCGAGCTTTGTTTTGCTGGCACAGGGCTGCAGGAGGCCGTTGTGGCCAAAAATGGAGCTTGGGAGCCCATTTTTGCTGGCAAAGTGCTTGGGCCACTGCAGGCACCCCCGACACAAGTGACCTCAAGCTGGCCACACACACCCCAGCCACGCCCATGCTGTCCCCCCCCCCGAGGTCAAACACAACCCTGATGTGGCCCTCAATGAAATCGAGTTTGACACCCCTGCACTAGAAGGTAAGATCTTCCACCTCATGAAACATCAGCACAGGTTTTGTCTATCTTGACTGGCTGCTTTAGTTTAAGGTGAGTGACTTCTGTACATGAGCTCTGAAAGGTTAGATATTCAGTTAAAGTGGTCACCTGAATCACATGGAACAAATCATCTCCTCAGAGTTTTGCATGGCCTAGTAATTATATTGTTTGTGCAGCAATTGTAATCTGTTATGTAATTTGTAGATAACATTAATTTGGAAACAGATATAATAAACTAAGGGAAAAACATTAAGTTCAGTTAATTGTAGACCATTACTACCTTTGTGTGCTCCTTTCACAGAAAGGTGACCTTTACATATGGAAAATCTGAGCTTATTTTTTGAGTTCTGTCAGTCAGAAGTTGAGATATACAACTGAGTATTATCAATATACTAATGGCACCTAGCTCCATGGCATCCAATGATTTCACTCACCAGTTTCATATAGAAAGGAGTGGAGAGAGGGTGGAGCTTTATGGAACCCCCAAAAGCAGAGGTTTAGGGCTAAACTTGTCTCCCCTGTCAACACTGAGGAAGGAGAAACACCATAACACCACATCCTCCTTCCGAACCCCTGAGTTAGTCCAGAAGGATACCACAATTGTTAAGATTAAAAGTCACAGAGAGATCAAGGACCCAGATGGATTCAAGATCCATGCAGAATTTATACAATAGCGAAGCCCATGTTATAGACCAGAGGTGTCAAACTCACATCGTCACGGCAGCGTCATATGACCTATTGGGAGTTTTTTCCCTTTCACTAAACCGGGCATGGGCGTGGCTAGCGCATGACGCATCTGGCCCGCGGGCTGCAGGTTTGACAGTCCTCTTATAGACTGAGATTAAAGGTTTTAGCAGTTTTCAGAGCTTATTTGGGCACAGTTCAAAAATTGCCTTTTACATTCTTTCTTGTGCTCAGTGTGTAATTACCCTCACCTGCATAATAAATATTGTTTTGTGCCCCAGGTTTGCCGGGAATTCCAGCGAGGAAACTGTGCACGGGGGGAAACCGATTGTCGCTTTGCACATCCTGCTGACAGCACAATGATTGATACAAATGACAACACTGTAACTGTTTGTATGGATTACATAAAAGGGCGTTGCCTGAGGGAAAAATGCAAATATTTTCATCCTCCTGCTCACTTGCAGGCCAAAATCAAAGCTGCTCAGCACCAGACAAACCAAGCGGCAGTGGTAGCCCAGGCAGCTGCTACAGTCATGGTAAGTGCAAGGGGAATGGGGTTCTTTAAGACAGTGGTCACCAACCACTGGTGGTCCACTATAAAATTTTGGTGGTCCACAGAAAAATTATTTGCATTTTTTATATTGCACTAAATACTATTTATATTAATGGTCTGTGGGATTTAAAATTATGAATTTAGTGGTCCCTGAGATCCGAAAGGTTGGTGACCCCTGCTTTAAGAGTCAGCTTTAAGTCTTTGAGCTGGCTACTTCTAAAATGGATTTTTGTTACGTGTTAGCAACCCAGCAAATCTGTTTGACTCAGTAATTTCAGCACAAGGAGTATCTTCCTGGAATGCAGATAAGTTCAAGTTCTAACTCTTCAGCATTTCCCTTCATATTTAGTACAGGCTCTTATTTCTAAGGATTAACTTGGTTTTCACTTGAATGCTTTGAAGTTTGGATAAACTAGGCTGCCAACATGCATCTTTAAATTCACGTGGTTTAGAAAATATCCAACAGTTATCTAGCTAGGTCTTTATTAAATTTGTATGTTGGCTGCTCCAACTGAAGTCATAGTGGCTTACACAGTGACTAGCAATTAAAACATTAGGAAGGAAGGAACGATGAATTCATTCATACGCATGTCTTTTAAGTTGAGGGCAAAATACTGGATGTCTTCTTTTTCAAAATAGTTTGAAAAAGAAATTAGGTGGAAATATGGTTTGCGATAGGTTGATATGCATTCTCTGTATAGGCTAAATCCCTTGAAGAAAACTTGTGCAAGAAGTGTTGTCCAATCACTCACTATACCTTATAATGATAATCGTAGAAGGCTCTGTTGCAATATCATTTTGCTAGGATGATTGTTTGAGTCCACAATTCCCTCCCCCCCCAAAAAGAAAATATCACTTTGTCACCTATTAACTTCATTCATTATTTGTGACATCTAGTCACAGTCCCAAGAACTTCTTTAAGTGGATGGAATATTATACTGTTTGTGTCTACTTTTTGGCTTTATAAAAATGTCAGTGTACTGCTAAGTTTTGAAACAAACAGTAATAAACAGAGTAGAGTAGAGTAGAGTAAAGTAGAGCAGAGCAGAGCAGAGCAGAGCAGAGCAGAGCAGAGCAGAACAGAACAGAACAGAACAGAATTCTTTATTGGCCAAGTGTGATTGGACACACAAGGAATTTATCTCTGGTGTATATGCTCTCAGTGTACATAAGGAGAATAAAATATATTCATCGAGAATAAAAAGATACAACACTTAGTGATAGTCAAGATACTAATAAGCTATCAAATCGTACTAGGAAACAAAAACAATATAAATTGAGAGATACAAGCAACATGGTTATAGTAATAAGTAGGAAGAGATAGATACTAGTAAGGAAGAGAAGAATAATAGTAATACAGGCTTAGTAAATTATTTGACAGTGTTGTGGGAATTAGTTGTTAAGCAGAGTGATGGCATTCGGGAAAAAACTGTCCTTGTGTCTAATTGTTTGGGTGTGCAGTGCCCTATAGCATCATTTTGAGGGTAGAAGTTGAAACAATTTATGTCCAGGATGTGAGAGGTCTCACATCTCTCTCTATATATATCATATATATATAGCTGTCTATATCATCCTAAAATCTTGTAGGAATATCAGTTTAATGACCATGACATTTCTACTTACAATATCTTTACAAAAATAGCTTCTTTTAGTTTAGAAGTGCTGAAAGAGCTGTTTTACCCTGAGAGTGTTCTTTCTATAAGTGGATCCGTTATGGTAATTTATTTGGTTGATGAGAGCAAATTATTTTCAGTATATTATATAACACAAGCAGAATATTCAGGTGATCCTCAATACAAAAATCTGTCCTCATTCTTGCCACAGGGCAAGTAATAAAACAAATGTAGTTACTTTATATAGTAGATGTAGACTGTAGATTGTACAGCCAGCCACCATACAAAATACTGTTAGAAAAGCAGCTAATATATTTAGTAGCTTCTTGCAAGCCTCCACAATGCTCTTATATCTACCATAGAACATAGAACCACTCATACCACTCATACCACTCATAGAACATAGAATATTTATTTATTTATTTATTACATGTATTTATATGCCGCCATTCTCCCGAAGGATTCAGGGCGGCGAACACAAGTTAAGAAACAAGTACAATAAAATCATAATTTAATCCAAATAATTAATTGAATAACAGATTTGGAAGGGTCCTTGGAAGTCTTCAAACCCCTGCTCGAGTAGGAGATGCCATTCCAGACAAATGATTATACAATTTGTCCATAATCAATTTGACATTTATTGATATCTGCTTTTATGGATCAGAACTCTAACATCTGTCTCTTTTTAAATAGAAATCTAGAATAGATTGGTACAATAGAACATAAAATTTGATATAACATAGCAAAACAAAAACAATCAAGCATAAATAGAAATCTATGAACCAACATAATTTTTCATGAATTTGTTTAAAAAGAAGGTGCATTTAATGTTTTCCATACAGGAATTGACAGGTATGCGCTATTTTTAATTTTGGGCCAAATTTATATATATTTTAATTGTTTTTAATATTTGTATTCCATGTTTTTTAATTCTGGCTGTACACCGCCCTGAGTCCTCAGGGAGAAGGGCGGTATATAAATTTAAAAATAAAAATAAATAAATTAAAATAAATTAAAAACACTACTTCAGTTAAGAACCATATTTTTGTTTTGTGTGAGGACTTTATTCATCATCATCTAAAGTTAGAGAAGTTCTCTTTGTTTGATACCTTGCTGAAATCACTTTAATCATGTCAGTGGATAGTTAAATTTTAGCATTTATGCCATAAAATGCAATGATGTGGGCCAATTTGGATTAAAAAGTGTTTAAAGTTCTAAGGATAAAATGAGAGCTACTAGGCATTATGACTCTAGAGTACTCAATGGCAGTAAGCCTCTAGAGACCAGTTGCCAGGGAACAGCTACCAGGAGGTTTTAATGCTCTCCTGACCTCTTTGTGGGCTCCTTAGGGGCATTTGATTGGTCACTGTGGGAACAGAGTATTGAACTAGATGATCCTTGGTCTGATCCAACACAGCATTTTTTTAATGGTGTGTTGTTGTTTTGCATAGCTAGCTTAGCTATGCTGAGAACAAAACCATTTGTGCCAATACTGAAAATGCATCTATAATGTAGCAATACTAGACAAATCCAGATTAGTAGACATTTGAATTACTGAGGAGTGACTTCTGAGAAAATAGTGCAGATTAGCACTACAGATACCTCCGTTGGAAAAGAACAAAAGTTAATTAGAACTCTCCATCATCTTTACAAAATTCAGAATATGAGAGTTTGTTAGTAAGTTAGAAAAATGTGGGATAGTCAGCATCGCCACCAGATGTATTTGTAACTAACTCACTAACTGCACTCAATGTGTAGTCCTTAATGGAACTACATCTTTACGGAGGGAAGTAAGCAGTGGGGTCCTCCAGGGTTCTGTTTTAGACCCATTATTCTTCATAAATGATTTAGATGAAGGAATACAGGGGAACTCATCAAATTTGCAGACAATATCAAACTGATAGGAATAGCCAACCCCCAGAAGACAGACTCAAGAACCAGATGGATCTTAACAGACTTGAGCATTGGGCCTGAAATGAAATGAAATTCAATGTAGAGAAAAGTAAAGTTTTATGCTTAGGCAGGAAAAAAATATACAGGTACAGATTAGGGGAAACATGGCTCAAAAGCCATAACTGTGAGAGGGATCTTGAAGTCCTAGTAGACAATTATTTAAGTATGAGCCAGCAGTGTGTTGTAGCCACCAAAATAACCAATGTAATCCTAGGCTGCATTAGCAGAAGTATAGAACCAAGATCACGTGTATTGTTATAACCATTTTATGATGCCTTAGTAAAATCAATCTTGGAATACTGCATCCAGTTTTGGTCACATATAAAAAGGATGTTGAGACTCTGGAAAGAGTATAGAGAAGAGCAACAAAGATGAGGGGGCTGAAGCAGTGGTGGGATTCAGCCGGTTCTCTCCAGATCACGCAAACCGGTAGTGGCGACTGTGGGAGGCTCTGCCCACTCGCCTGGATGTAATGTCCGACTACTGCGCATGCAGTATGAGTGTGCTCACATTTGTGAACTGGTAGGGAAAGTAAGTGAATCCCACCTCTGGGCTGGAGGCTAAAATGAATAAAGAACAGTTGTAGGAATTGGGTATGTCTAGTCTAATGAAAGAGGGACACGGTGGCTCAGTGGCTAAGACACTGAGCTTGTCGATCGAAAGGTCGGCAGTTCAGCGGTTCGAATCCCTAGTGCCACATAATGGGGTGAGCTCCTGTTACTTGTCCCAGCTTCTGCCAACCTATCAGTTCGAAAGCACATAAAAAATGCAAGTAGAAAAATAGGGACCACCTTTGGTGGGAAGGTAACAGCGTTCCTTGTACCTTTGGTGTTGAGTCATGCCGGCCACATGACCATGGATATGTCTTCGGACAGTGCTGGCTCTTCAGCTTTGTAATGTAGATGAGCACCGCCCCCTAGAGTCGGGAACAACTAGCACATATGTGCAAGAGGAACTTTTACCTTTAGTCTAGTGAAAAGAAGCACTGGGGTGACATGATATCAATATTTCAGTATTGAGTGATTGTTACAAAGAAGAGGGGGGAGGGGTCAACCTATTTTCCAAAGCACCAGAAGGCAAGACAAGAAACAATGGAGGGAAACTATTCAATGGCAGAAGCAACCTAGAACTAAGGAGAAATTTCCTAACAGTGAGAACAATTAACCAGACCTTCAGAAGTTGTGGTTTCTCCATCACTGGAGGCTTTTAAGAAGAGACTGGACAGCCATTTGCCTGAAATGGTATAGGGTCTCCTGCTTGAGCAGAGGGCTGGACTAGAAAACCTCCAAGGTCCCTTCCAATTCTGTTTTTCTCTTAAAATCCCCAAACAAAATGTGTAGCCATTTTTTCCTACTTAACATGATAACATGGTGGTTCCTAATATAGTTAAAAGTTAGGAGCCTGAGTGGCATAGGAGGCTAATGCCTCCTACTAAGGCAGCAATTAACATCCAGCTGCCTGCAATTACCGCGAGTTCAATTCTCACCAGGCTCAAGGTCGACTTAGCCTTCCATCCTTTCTAAAGTGGGTAAAATGAGGACCCAGTTTGTGGGGGCAATAAGCTGACTTTGTATAAAATATACAAAAGTATGAAGGCTATTGCTTAACGCATTGTAAGCCACCCTAAGTCTCCGGAGAAGGACGGCATATAAAAATAAATAAAAATAAAAAATAAAAAAAATAGAGAACATTTTAAAATATATTGAATGTGATAAATTAAGGATCAGAAGTAACATTAACTAAAGATCTAAGTAAAAAAACAGACATTAAAATAACATTAATCTTTCTAGGTTTTATATATGCATTCATTTCATTAAAAAATACTGTTTTCAGTTATTTCAATTTTGATTGTTAATTTTTGGAAATTAATGTATGCTTCCTAATATGGCATAACTAATTTAACAGTATTTGTTTAGGAAAATCATTGCAATAACTGCTTTTCTACATAGTATAAAAGCTTACTGATGCTTATTTGTCTGCAAGCTTCTATTTTATTCAACTTTCCTAAATTCCAAACATCTGTTTTATTCTTATATGTTTTAACTAAGTTATGATAAATGCATTTTTTGCTTCAGTACTAATCCAAGATGATTAATGTTCATTTCCTTAGATGATGAAGTATTTCTGTTGTTGTGCATGTCTAGTGTTCTGTATGTTGTATCTTGCATTCAGAATATTTTTTTCCTTCTCAACTATCCACAATGCAATGCCGTTCCCATGATGCACCTCTGCTTGCTGTTTACCTGTATGTTAATTCGCTTGAATTCCATTGGCCACTGCCATCATGTGCTCGCTGCCTATTCTTAAAAAGACTCAGTCGACTGCCAAAGCAATGAAGCGACCTCTTGAAGCAACTGTAGACCTGGTACTTTGACTTTCACCTTTTGCTTTGCATGTAGCTTTTCCAAAATGCAAATAAATTTAATGTTTATCTGAATTGCATTCTTAATTATAAGGCATAATTTCAATATTTAAGTAATCTCATTTTCACATGTTATTATGGCAGAATAGTCTAACATCTTTTCTAACAAAGTTTCATCGTCAATTGACTTATTTTAAAAGTCAAAGCAAAGGAAAAAATGTGTTTTTATCATTGACGCTATTTATTCTATAATAAATAACATGTGTTTTTTATAAATAGAAACAAATGCAAATAATGCTTCAGTCATATTTTAAACCCCATTTCAAAAAATAATGTTTTCCCTAGGCTCTCTTTTTTTAGTTTAATTACTATGATTCTATAATTTTAGTTTAATTGTGCTGTGCATTAATTACCAGTAATAATAAAATTTTGCACTGCTGCCTTCGGAGCATGGCAAGGCTTATTCAACTGTTGAAAGAGCTGTAATAATTACACAGTCCTCATTTAAGATATAAATCTATGTATATAGATATATATGGATATATATATACATGTGTGTGTGTGTGTGTGTGTGTGTGTGTATTTGTGTGTGTATGTGTGTATTTAATTCACAGGCCTTTCCACCTGCTGTCCTTCATCCTTTACCAAAGAGACAAGCACTTGAGAAAAGCAATGGTGCCAGTGCTGTTTTTAATCCCAGTTTCTTGCACTACCAACAGGCTCTTGCTAGTGCACAGTTGCAGCAACATGCATCATTTATTCCCACAGGTAAGTTCTGTTTAGAAGTAAAGAAATATTTTGATTCCTTTGTCTCTGGATAAAAAAGCTCCCCGTGATCCCATTCCTTGTACTTTCATCTGAATAATTGTGTCCTCCTTCCACCACTTTGGGGAGGACATTGACAATGCTTTTTTAAAAAAAAAAAACTTTTAATATTTCCGAAGAATATTATAAAATGTTTAGAAGTGCATAAAGAGGATCAAAAAGTTTTCAGTCTGAACCATTTGATTAACCTTAGTCTTTCAACAGTCTTTTGGAAAGAGGCATGTTCTTGCTTCAGTTTGTAGAGATCCTTAGTCATCCAGGTCATGATTGTCCCAAAGGTGCTTTTTCAGGAGGCAACTGGACTTTCTGCAAGGAATATAAATCCTTCCATTCCCCACCATCCAGTCAGAGCTGAAGAAGCTTCTTGGATGAGAAGCAAGACGTTTTCAAAGAAAAAACAAGAAAGTCCAGTTGCTTCCTGAAAAAGCACTTTTGCGTTTTGTCTCAGTTCTTTGGCATCTTTAAAGAACTATATATGTTCTGTATAGATATTTTCTACATAGAAAATATTTTTCTTAAAATATCAGTAAATAGATATTTTAAGGACTTAGAAGAACTCAGAAGGACATAGCAAATATATTAAGATTTACTGGGAATACATTGCTTTTGTGGTTGTTACTATATCCTGCCTTTATTTTGTACAACCCAAACTCGGAGTACAAGTAGTCCTTGATTTATGATTGAGCCCAAAATTTCTGTTGTTAAGCGAGACATTTGTTAAGTGAGTTTTGCCCCATTTTATGACATTTCTTGCCACAATTGTTAAGTGAATCACTGAAGTTGTTAAATTAGTAACCCGGTTGGTAAGTGAATCTGGTTTCCCCCTTGTCATAAGATCACAAAGGGTAATCACGTGATCCCAGGATACAGCAACGGTCATAAATACGAATCAGTTGCCAAGCATCTGAATTTTGATCACATGACCATGGGGATGCTGCAAAGGTTGTAATTGTGAAAAATGGTCATAATTCACTTTATTCAGTGCCATTTGTAATTTTGAATGGCCACTAAATGAACTGTTGTAAATTGAGGACTATCTGTATATTATGCTTCTGGTTCCTATTCTGTTTTTCCTCTGAACAATTATCCTGTGAGGTGGGCTTACCTTCTCCTTCTCTATTTCTAATGGATACAGAAGGCTACTCTTTTATTCCTTTCCAGAGGCAAAAATTCTGTATCATATCTGTTACGCTGTCCATCTACTATCACAATTGATGGTAACTTGAGGCCCCCATGTGCTAACGTCATATGAGAAAGTTTCAGAAAGGCTATGAAATCTGGCAATAGCATAGAATAAGATAAGAAGAATCTTCTATCACTGTAAATTAAATTAACATGTCTTACTCTTATCTTCATTCTTTTTCCTGCTTTGTCTGCCATTTTAATATTTGCTAGAAGGATCTTAAAAGTTTTTGAAAACTATTTGCCTAATGTTAATCTGCCCCATGATTTCCCTTCCCAGCAAACATCAGTTTTCTTCCCTTATGCTCCAATGAAGACATTTTAAAAAATTCTCACTTTTTTTAAAAAAATCACCAATGCAGACTCAGTTCTGTGCCCATGGTTATGTGTCTATTGCATACATTAAGACAATGATTCATTGATAAATATGTATACAGATTGCTTTGTTGCAACAACCCATAGATATCTATCCATCAAATTCTGATCTGATCGTATTTGTAACATAAAAGTGACCTCAAAAGAAAACCATATCATGCCATTAAGAGAATAACATGTGAATATGAAAATCACCATTTCTTATGAATATAATAGAAAACTGTAACCTACAGTTTGACCCTAGGTCCCAAATGAACCAGTGTTAACAAGCAGAATATTCTAGAAAAACATTTTAACAATACTGTACACACGTACACATTTTGGTGCATAGTTGTTTCATACATACAAGTTCTGTCAGTTTGAATGGTGCATAATACTAAGGTGCTTAAGACAAAAAAGGATTAGTATAAAAAAATGGAAGGAGGGACACATAACTAAGGCAGAATGCCAGCATATAGCTTGAATCTGCAAAGATGAAGTCAAGAAAACTAAGGTTCATCATGAACTAAGACTTGCAACAAAAATCAAAGATAATTTTAAAAAAGTTTCTTTCAACATGTAAAAAACAAGAAAAAAGTCAAGGAAACAATCAGTCCACTAATGGGAGAAGATGGCAAGGAAGTGATGGACAGCAGTGAGAAAAGAGAGTTGCTTAATTCATTCTTTGCATCTGTCTTCATACAAAGGGGAAAAAAAAACAGCCCAACCTCTACCAAGAACAGAACAGTAAAAGACAGACTAGGAGTACACATTAAAATAGACAAGAAAATGGTAAGAGAACACCTGTCCACCCTAGATGAGTTCAAGTCACCAGAACCAGATGGATTACATCCCAGAGTTCTGAAGGAGGTGGCAGATGTGATCTTGGAACCTTTGAACTATATCTTTCAAAGATCCTGAAGCACCAGGGAGCTACCGGAGGATTGGAAAAGAGTTGATGCGATTCCCATCTTCAAAAAAGGGAAAAAATGGATCCAGAAAACTACAGACCAATCAGCCTGACATCAATACCTAGGAAGATCTTGGAAAAGATAGTCAAGCTACAGATTTGTGAACACCTAGAAGCAAGCAAAGTTATAACCAGAAGCCAGCCAACATAGATTGTCAAAAACAGATCATGCTAAACAAATCTCATTTCATTCTTTGACAAAGTGACTAAATTAGTGGTCCAGCAAAATGCTGTGGACATAGTATACTTAGATTTCAGTAAAGCATTTGACAAAGTAGATCACAACCTTCTTCTTAGTAAGTTAGAAAAATGTGGAATAGACAGCATCATCACCAGATGGATTTGTAAGTGGCTGACAAACCGCACTCAATATGTAGTCCTTAATGGAACTACTTCTCTACATGGAGGGAAGTAAACTGTGGGTACCCCAAGGTTTTGCCTTAGGCCCAGTACTCTTCAATATCTTCATAAATGACTTAGATGAGGGAATAGAAGGGGAACTAATATACATTTGCAGATGTCACCAGGCTGGCAGGAATAGAGATCACTGTAAATCATTGTAAAACAGTTATTGTTATATATTCTATTCAAACTGAATTCTTTTTAATGAGAATGTCCTATTGTTCAATATTAAATGAAATGTTTGCTGTACAGATTATGATACATAACATATTATATTGATAACATCTGATCATTGACTGTAGTAAAGAATTTCATTTGATGTATATTTATACAGATTTGTACATAGAAATGAAATGTTTTAGAATAGCAATGAATAGCCTTTTTGAATTTCTATTTAACTCACTTTGGTTTTTCCTTGGGATGCTTGGATCTTTGAATGTTAACTCTAAACAGCTAACCTGTTTCTTCCCTTTATTCACCTTTTTTCACCTACCATTGCATGAAACAGGGTCAGTTTTGTGCATGACACCTGCTACCAGTATTGGTAGGTTTCAAACTTATTTATTGATCTCTTTTTAATAATATTCTCTACCTTTCTTTGTTTGGAGAATTAAAATATAAATTAGACATAAATGGTTATTTTGAATTTTCGCTCGAATTGTTAAAACATTTGACATTTATTTTTTTAAAAAAAGAAATAAAACCCGGCTACTTAGATGCATCATCATTTGCAATACCAGTCCTACTGCAAAATGCACTTATATCATGAAGTTCAATGTGCTTTTGCTTTTTTTAACGTATATTTTATAATGCGAGCATTATTGTGTGACAAACTATTGAAGAAAGCAATTTAACTTCATTAGTATTTTGAAGTTTCATAGTGGTATGCCTACTTTTTTTTTCCGCTGTGTTGTAGAAAAAGTTTTTATCAGTATTTCCCAGAAATGTTATCTTAATATTTGCAGAAAAAATAATCATTAAATATATTTCATTTGAAGCTAGTATAAAGCTATTTAGCATTGCAGTCCTAGAAGTGCTTTTTAAGAAGTAATTCTCATTTAATTCAATGATATATAGAAGTACAGTTTTCAATTTTGAAACATTAGAAAATTCCCCTTTTCTAATTTAGCCATTTGTCCAACAAACTTTTTTCAAATTAATTTTGAGTAATCACATTATTAGGGTGCTGTTTGAATTTCCAGCCTTAGTACTTCTGTCTTAAAATCAAGGTTTTAGATTGTGTTTCCCAGATGCCCTCAAATTTCTCATAACCCACTTTACTTATATGTGAAAAAAAGAATCAAAATTAATTATTATAATCTTCACTTTCCTTGTTGAGACTGTATAAAATAATTTTAGATAGTAGTTAGGTTATATCTAATGTATTATAAAATAAATTAAGTGTGTTTATAGGACCATAAATGTGAGTGTGTATATCTATACATACACACGTATATATACACAAATATACATAAACATACACAAAGACTCACACATATATAAAATAAAAAGTCAAAAGAAAATATAAATTCAAATTCAGGTTGTTTTAATAGCTACATTTTTCCATTTCCAAGATTAGGAAGTTCATTATATTTTTACTTCAGTATAATAATGAAACTTCACTGTTAGGAAATTACAATATAGAATGAAGTATCTCAATCTTTATCAAATGATTGCCATTATGTTAGAATACTGTTCATGAACATAATAAAAATTGAACTAATATTTGAATTTTAAATATAAGCTATTTAAGGTGTTCATGAAATAATGAACTCTCAATATTTATTTATCAAACAGCCTGGGAAGAAAGAAAGGTTGGGATACAATTTCTGCTACCTTTTTTAAACACTGTTTTCTCATAGATATATACTAGGAAGTCAAAAAAGAATAAAGCAAAACTTCTATTTTGTTGCCAAAGAACTTTACATGAGCCTATCACTTTATACGATCACTACCAAAGTTTTTACTTTACCATATATATCAGTGATGGCTAACCTTTTCTGGACCGACTGTGCCCAAACCAAAACATGCACCTGCGCCCGAACCCCCAAAAGGCAATGCATGTGTATCCATGTGCATGTGTGCTCTCCCATGTGCCCCACCCCTGCACATGTGCACACGCTGCCCTGCATGTGCCCCACCCCCGTGCATGCACACACGGCCCTCCACACACCCTGTGCATGCGCAGCAGAGACCCGACGACCAGCTGGCGGAGCTGAATTGGGGCAACGGCTCGCGTGCCCACAGAGAGGGCGCTACGCATGTCATAGGTTCGCCATCACAGATATATATAGTTTACTTCATTATGTAAACTATATATGAGGGGATTTAGCTGACTTTGCACATGCTCAGAAGCTAAGCAGGGGTGAACCCAGTAAGTCTTTGTATAGCAGATTCCCAGAGTGTGTGAGGGCTATAGTCAAGATTAAGAAGTTGAGAAATATTCCTGAAAGCATGATCAGGCTCTTCTGCTTTTTTTTCTGAGAAAACATCCTGGATCTATTCACAAACTCGGTGCGGAAACCTAAGAAACAGGTGATTAAATAATAGCAAAGGCTGTGATGGAAGCAGATACAAAATGCTAAGAAATAAAAGGGAGGGAGGAATATGTTGGAAGCAAGAAGTCATATTGGACATTGTACCTCAAAAATGTGAATCAGCCTCAGCAAGTATTGGTAAAAAAAAAAAAGTGTTGAATAAAACACTGTTGGTAGTATAAAAGAAGCAGAACAAGACTGACATGCTTAGTAATGCTTCTTGGTCCTGCAGAATTGTCCAGGAAAGCAGGACCTGCAAATGATAGGGAATTACACAGGGAAAGACCCAGTTAGAGACATACATCATAATACTATGCACGTTAACATAAGTTATGCTACATTCAGTAGAACATAGAATCATAATCAATAAATTGAATCAGAATCTTTAGAAATAAGCTAAAAAACCGATAACAGATAAAGGAGCCATTATTTTAGTAGATGATTTCTTCGGGAATTGACATAAAAAAGGAGACAGAAATAGACTGAAATGTAGTTTTGATTAAAAATAAGCTGGCCATATTGCCTGAGGATGGCAAAAGGCACTATTTCAAAAAGGATTGTAAAGTATTAGGTAGCAAGACAAAGTAACTTCTTTGTGAGTGATGCGGTTGCTGGAACCCACATTAAATTTATAGAAAGGTAACTGTTGGAATACATTGTTCGTGTATTTTTTGCAACAAGTACAACAGTATCCAACCAGTAGATGGCAGTGTTTTCAAGTTTGTACTTGCATCTATGGCATACACTCTATGTCCTTTTCTCTGTATAAAGTTTCCTGTTTTCTTATCCAAGTTAAGCAGAAAGGCACATGTGGATTGTGCACTGTTTGTTCTGTAGGGCTATGTGCAGAATTTCTAACAGTAATCCTTAGCAACATAAACATGCTGATTGTGAAGGTGTTGTCCCTGTGGCTTTTACTCCATTAGTCATTGCTGTCTATAAGTGAAGATGTTGAGAAGCATTAAAAGAATAGACAGGCAAGTTTTATATAGGGAAAGGTAGGGCAATAACAGGGAAATTGTTCCCTACCCCATTCCAATGAAACAGGCTAATTTGGAAGGAGGATGAATGTTTCATGAGTGGTGCAGTGGCCTGGAGGTGGAGCTGTCGCTTCACAATGAGGAGGCTGTGAGTTTTATCCTAGGTCTGTAATGGCGAACGTATGGCACGCGTGCCAGAGGTGGCATGCAGCACCCTCTCTGTGAGCATGCGAGCCATCGTCCCAGCTCAGCCCTGCCACGCATGCGCATACACCTCCCGCTGGCCAGCTGGTCTTCAGGTCTCTGCCACACATGCGTGGGGGTCGGGGCGCATGCAGGGGGCACGTGCACATGCGGGGGGGGTCGTGGTGAATACAGGCTCAGCGGCACATGCCTGAGGCATTGGGTGCATGCAGGGGGCCACACATGGATGCACGGGATGCATGAGCGGGGGCACACACGCATTGCATTTGGGGGATTCAGGCACGCTTTGGGCACTCAGTCTGGAAAAGGTCCTTGGTAGAGGCAGATATTTTTCTCTCTGGGCACATAGAGAATATATCTTCTGAATATAACTGCATTGGTGACAGGAAGGGCATCCAGCCAGTAAACACTCAGCTCCATTCAGTTGCCCAGATTCAACCCCGCAAGGGATTATGGGGTCATTAAAAGGAGATGATGATGAATGCTTCATGAGAAAGTCATTATGCACTGCTAACTTAAAATCAATTTAGAGCACATGTTTTCAGAAAAATACTGTGTAGAATATACAGAGAAAATACTAACATCTTCCTCTCAAATAAGGCTCCCCTGCTTCCTTCTTTTTGGAAGGAGCTTTCTAGAACAGCATGAGATATGGTAACTCCAGATCTAGATCATCCTCTAGATAATCACAGTTCCATAAAGATTCACGTACCAGCTTTTTTCAAATATTGAAACTATAGGAAGAATATCAAAACATTACCCAATATTTGGATAACATTAACAAATACCTAAAACATTTTTTTTCTGGGAATTGCTGATAACTATGACTCCTTTAAATTGTACGTGTAATAAGCTATTTTCCCTTTTGTTTTATTTCTCTACCATGCTTTCTTGCTTTGCATTGTGATTGCATGCCATCTGCTGGTTTAACATATGATGGCTTGCTGCTCTGATATTCACCATGCCAAAATTCCACTTCCATTGCCATAATGCTACCCACACCGCTTCATTGGCTCCCCTCCTGAAAGTTTCCATGATGCACAGCGCTACGTCCGCCACTGTCTCTGCACCAACAGCTCCTACAGCAAGTGTCCCCTTCGCTGCAGCAGCCTCAGCCAATCAGGTTTGCCTCTTTTAAAGCTTTCTTTCATTTCACAAATCCCAAACTCTAAATGAGTGCTGGTATTTCTTTAAAAAAAATTCTCTCAGGAGAATTTTTTTCTTCATGTTTTTTACCCATCAGACTTTTCTTTGAAGTAATTGTTTAACTAATATTTATGGACAGGTTGCACTTATTTAGAGTTAACATTTATGGCAAATAAGGATGTGGCTCTCTGTGTATTTTTTTTTTTTTTTTTTTTTGGTGTGTATGTGTGTCTCTAATACTAGCCGCTCAGTAGCCATTTTAGTGCTGATTTTGTTATCATCCAATTAACTTTTAAATTTAAGTATTAACTATCTTTTCTCCAGACTATAATTGTAATTAATTATTTAACCTTTTAAAGCAAAAACAGACTTAAAAGATTGAGGCTGAAGAACATTTCTATGTACCGTATTTTTACGGAAGCTTGCATACATACTATAATTGCAAGATTCAGTGGGATTTTTAATGTGGGCTGCAAATTTATGGATGATCACTTGGTGGCAGCAAAGAGTTAAGAGTTTCTCTTACCTAATCATCCCGTCCCCCCCTTTTTTTTAGCATTTTAAACATGGCAGCTCTATTTAGCCCTAAGAATCATGTCTAATAATCATTCACAATATTGCTCTTTTCTTTCTGCTTTCTTTCTGTATTTAACTGCTTCTATTCATGGTAAAAGTAA